AATGGCCTTGGGTCGATTCTGGGTTCTCTGTTCTGCTCCATTGCGTCTATATGTTCTGTCCTTGTGCCCAGTTACCAGGCAGTTTTGAAAAACAGTGGCTTGGTAATACAGCCTGGTATCTGGGTATTTGTGATCCCTCTAACTTTGTTCTTCTTTCACAAGATTGCTGTGGCTATTTGGGATCTTTTTTTTATTCCAGATGAATTTTTGGAGAGTTTGTTCTAGATCTTTGAAATATGTTATTGGTATTTTAATGGGGATTGCATTGAATCTGTAGATTGCTTTGGGTAGTATGGACATTTTAATGATGTTGATTCTACCAAACCATGAACATGGTATGTTCTTCTATTTATGTCTTCTATCTTTTCTTTTTTCAGTGTCCTGTAGTTTTCTGAGTACAGGTCTTTTAAGTCCTTAGTTTATTCCTAGGTATCTTTTTTTAAAATATTTTATTGATTTTTTACAGAGAGGAAGGGAGAGAGAGAACCAGAAACATCGATGAGAGAGAAACATTGATCAGCTGCCTCCTGCACATCTCCTACTGGGGATGTGCCCGCAACCCAGGTACATGCCCTTGACCGGAATCGAACCTGGGACCCCTCAGTCCGCAAGCCAACGCTCTATCCACTGAGCCAAACCGGTTTCGGCTATTCCTAGGTATCTTAATGTTTTTGTTGCAATAGTAAATGGGATTTTTTTTTTGGTTACTCTTTCTGTGAATTCATTATTGGTATATAAAAAGGCCATAGATTTATGGGTGTTAATTTTGTATCCTGCTACATTGCCAAATTCATTTATTAGGTCTAGTAGGTTTTTGATGGAGTCTTTGGGGTTTTCTATGTATAGTATGTCATCTATGAATAAGGACAGTTTTACTCCTTTTCCAATTTGGATGCATTTTATATCTTCTTGTCTGATCACTATGGCTAGCACTTCCAGTACTATATCGAACAGGAGTGGTGAAAGTGGACATCCCTGTCTTGTTCCTGTTCTTAAGGGAAATGAGTTTAGTTTTTGCCCATTGAGTATGATGTTGGCTGTAGGTTTGTCATATAAGGCTTTTATTAGTTGAGGTATGATCCCTCTATTCCCACTTTGCTGAAAGTTTATATCAAGAAAGGGTGTTGGACTTCGTCAAATGTTTTTTCTGCATTGATTGATTCGAAAGTTTTTTTTAAAAACAATGGTAACAAAGTATGACCAGTTATTAGTTTCCCACTGCTGTTGTAATGAATTAACACAAACTTAATGACTTAGAAAAGCAGAAATCCAAAATGAGTCTCACGGATCAAATCAAGATGTCTACAGTGCTGGTTCCTTCTGGAGGCTCCAGGAGAGATTGTGTTACTTGTCACTTCCCAGCTTCCAAAAGCTGCGGGCATCCCCTGACTTGTGGCAGCAACATTATAATCTCTGCTTTCCTCTCATTTCTCACTCTGAATCTCTAGCATCCTCCTTTCTTTATTATTTTTTATTTATTGAAATTACAATTTACATTCAGTATTATTTTGTACTTGTTTGAGGTATACAGCATAGTGGTTAGATAATCATATACTTTAGAAAGTGTTCCCTCTGGTATTTCCAGTACTCGACTGGAACCATACATGCTTATTACAATACTAGAGGCCCAGTGCACGAATTCGTGCATGGGTAGGGTCTGGCCGGCCTGCCCCAATTGTGGCTGATCTGGGACTGGCCACCGCCGGAATTGCCTGGCCAGCCTGCCCCCCACCAGGGTGGGGGGACCTATTGGGGGTGGGACTGGCCATAGGGAGGGGCCATGGGTGGTTGGCCAGCCAGCCACGCCCCCAATCGGGATGGGAGGGCTGATCAGGAGAGGGGTTGTGGGAGGGGTGGGGGGCTGGCCAGGGGAAGGGCTGTGGGTGGTTGGGGGGACGATTGGCTGGTTGGCCACCCCAGTGCACGTCATAGCGACCAGTCATTCTGGAATTCCAGTCACTTGGCTTTTATTTATATAGATTATTGACTGTATTTCCTATCCTGTACTTTACATCCCCATGATAATTTTGTAACCTATCAATCTATTCTTCTCAATCCCTTCACCTTTTTCACCTGGTCTCCCAACACCCCTTCTTGCTGGCAACCATCAGTCTGTTTTCCTATCTGTGAGTCTGTTTCTGTTGTTTGTTTATGTTGATGGCTAATAGTCTTAACACCTCACCTCACTTCAATAACTCTAGACTCTCCCTGGCAGTTTTGGTCTGAAGGGGCCAGTTTGAGATCAGCTTTAGATAGAGTTAACGAACAGTACAGATTCCTTAGGGAGATATAGAGTAAAGACTGAAAAGAGATGTGACTTGGTCTTAGGGGGACAGTATATATAGCGTGAGGAAGATGACTGACAGTCCCTAGGGCAGGGGTGGGCAACCTCTGGCACGCGTGCCAAACATGGCACGCTGGTAACTTTTGCTGGCACACGAAACCCTCTCTTATAATCTTCCATTTACAATTTTTTTCTTAATATCGACTTTTTTATTTTTCAGATAAATTCAGTGTAGGGGCATCTTAGATAAATAAATAATTTTACATAACAAGTTATCCTAAAGACCATAGACATGGATTGACGAGAGAGGGGAAGAGCAATTTCAATAGTGTCGAAAACAAACGATTGAGGACTTGGAATGCCATTCCAGAAAACTTTTTCTGTTTAAAAAACTTTGCAACAGCATTACTCTCCATGTTTTCTTCCACATACACTTGTGAATCTTTGTTCTCAGTGATGAATTTTGTTAAGTCTCATAATAGGAGTAGCCTGACAGATGAAAGTAGTAGCTCGTGCATATCTCTGAAGGTCACGAAATATAAACCTCATGTAAAATTTCTGTCATCAGTGATGCAGCAGCAAAAGTCCCACTGATAATATCAAACGGAGTCATAAAGTTTTCTGTCGGACTATCAGTGTACATGTATACATTAGAAAATAAATATTTTTTATCATCATATACTGTGTTTTTGTCGCTCAAATGAATTTTATTATTTCTTCAAGGTTCTTCACATACATACACCTTAAGAGATATCAAGTAGGCGTAACATGTTCTCAAAAAATTAGGTTGGCACGCAGAAGAATTTTGAGTCAGATTTTGCTGGTTTTGGCACGCACTCACAAAAAGGTTGCCCACCCCTGTCCTAGGGAATGAACCTGAGTAAAGACTTGAAGGGACCATACTCCTCAGAAACAAATGGTTCTACAGAACCCAGCCACACCTGCCTACTATCATCCCTGAGAATTCTCAGCCTGGCTTGCCTTGTTGTACCCTGAGGAGCATTGAGTATTTGTCTTTCATGTCCCTGGGGGACACAGCATTCAGGAGGTCAGGTGATCTGTGAGGTCCTATAGCACTATTGTCAGGAGAGGACCATTAGAGGTGGCTTTTATCAGAGCCATCACAGTTGAGATTGGAAGCTGAGGCCACTCACATCTTCCTTCTTTCCCTTAGGGAGTGATTCCCCATTGTCTTCCTGTTTACGTTCCTGATTACCACCACCCACAAGAGTCCTCATGGCTTTTCCTCAGAAGAATCCACAATCCTCACCTGATCAACTCCCTCAGACCCACAGTGAGACACAGGGCCTGGAGGTTGCACAGGAGTCCAAGGCTCTGGAGGAGGCCTCTCTCTCCTCCCATCCTGAAATGCCTGGCAATCTGAAGGAGGCTCCTGATGCTGCTATCCCCAGTACCTCTCAGAGTGCTCAGAGTTCCTCCTCCTCAATTGTCACCACAGTCTCATCATCAAGAAAATATGGTGAGGGCTCCAGTAGAGAAGAGGAGGGGGATAGCACCTTAGAGGCAGATCCAGACCCCAAGAATGTGCCCAAGGATGCTGAAGATGAAAATGTGGCTTCATTGGTGAATTACCTCCTATTCAAGTATCAAATAAAAGCGATAACAACCATAGAAGATATGTTGAAGATTATCAGCAAAGAGTATGAAGACCACTTCATTGAGATGTTCCAGAGAGCATGTGAACGCCTGGAGATAATCTTCGGCCTTGATGTGAAAGAAGTGGATCCCTACAACCACTGCTATGCCATCTTCATCAAACTGGGCCTCACCTATGATGGGATGCAGCATGGTGAAGTCGGTGTGCCTAAGACTGGTATCCTGATACTCATCCTGGCTGTGATCTTCATGAGGGGCAACCGTGCCACCGAACAGGAAATCTGGGATGTTCTGAGTGTGATGGGGTTATATTCTGGGAAGAAGCACTATATCTTTGGAGAGCCCAGGGAGCTCATCACCAAATATTTCGTGGAGGAGGAATACCTGAATTACCGGAAGGTGGCCAACAGTGATCCTGCACAATTTGAATTTCTGTGGGGCCCAAGAGCCCATGCTGAAACCACCAAGATGCAAGTCCTAAAGTTTCTGGCAAAGGTTCATGGGACTATCCCATGTGGTTTCCCATCTCAGTATGAAGAAGCATTGCGAGATGAAGAAGAGAGAACCCGAGAAAAAGTTTGGGCCATGGATTTCGACTTGCATGGCCCCTCCCATTTCTAAGGCCAAGCCTGGCAGCTCCTCCCACACCTTAGGGAAGTCAGGGATAGTTTACTCAGGCATTGTTTGAAGTAGTTTGTGTTCTTAGAATTTAGGTCTTTGGTGAGGCTGAAAGGAACACACTATGCTTGTGTTCCTCTTTTATATGTGTAACTTGAAAATTTCTTTGTTGACATGTATTCAAATATTGGTTTTAGTATATCTTTAAGTAGCTTTAAAATCTCCAAGTTTATGAAAGATAATGGTCACAATTTAATGCTCTAAGGAGGTTTCATAGTAAGCTTTTGTTAAAATATGAAACCATCCATCTGTTGTCACCTGCAATAAGATAACATCACATTGCTATAGACATTTACTAGAAATGTGAAAGAGATTTGTTTTAAGATACTTGGGTTCAAGAAATAGAGCAGAAGTAAAAGATTGTCAGTTTGCTCCTTATACCTTTTATCTTTATAAAAGAACATTATATATGCTTGAATTTGGTTAACTTGATTGTGTATGCATAAGAAATAAATCTCAATAAAGTATATCCTGTGCTCGCTCCTTCTATTATTCCCCATACTTTATTGAACTTTTGCTGTTTGGAAATCACCACCTTAGCCCTGGAATTTCTAGGATAAATAAGACCTAGGACTTGCCCTTATAATTTTTACTTATAGAATCGGCAATTCTATAATAATGAGATATCTTCTAATATCTATAGGTCAAGTAAAAGAAGGATATAACAGGTGAGTGGAGTTGTTTTATTTGACCCAGTCAAGCATAAATGCCCTGAGTCAAGGGAATTGGGTTTTGGGGAATGCTTCAGTTCCTTCAATTGAATGCTTCAATTCCGCAATTTTATGGTGGATTTTAGATGTAGGGCAGGAAACGTTTGAGAGTTTGGTGATCACTGATCAGACCTACAGATGGTAGGTTGCAGAGTTGAGACTTGAAAACCTGGAGGGGAAAATTGTTCTTCACATATAACTTTTGGGTCATGATTTAAAAATAGAAATCTCCACTGGGGCAGGAATGGAAGTTGTTCTGTGGTCTTGCCTCTCTTCCATTACAATCTTTTATGCACATCGTCTTCAGGGAGTTTTTGAGAGAGAACAGTGATACTTTCCTGAGATGAGATACCCAGAAATCACTTTGTTAGCATTTGCTGTCCTGGGCTGAGAGAGAGAGAGCTCCATTTAAGGATATTTTAAATGTTATTTTTGGTATAATTTGGTATAGTCTTAGGAAATGCTTAGAATTTCGAGGAGTATAAAATTAATGAAAATAGGGGTTGTTTGAATGGAACAGAAAATAAAAAGGTGAGAAATTGGTCCTTGTCAGAAATACTAGGAATTTGGAGTTGCATCAGCTAGAGAAGAAATTTCCTTCCCCATTATTAAAGAATACAGCATAAGATACATATATGTCTACTGTGCTTTACTTTCTAAGCAGTATTTTGGTAGCTCTGATACCCTATGTTCTGTAGTACTTCATGCTCTCTGAGTCATAATGGATTTTTAAAAATCACCTAGGTAAGGGTGGTAGGGTCAGTGTCAAAATCATTACATTAATAACAACTACCATTTATAAAAAAAACCTAAGGTATGCCAGGAACTACACCGGGTGCTTTACATACAGTGCATTCTTTCTAACAGTAAATTGAGACACAGCTTATCAGACTTATTCCTCAGATGAAGAGCCTAAGAGTCACAAAACTTGGAAATGTGCCGGAGTTCACAGGTCTGGTTAGTGTTAGAGCCGAGGTTGGACTTCCGGTCTGAATTCTTCTAGAGTTCACTCTATTCCAGTCCTCCAGCGTTAGGCCCACCTTCTGTCTCTCAATTCATTTCTCACTACTCCATAATGCCTCTTGGGATAAAAAGGGACTTCTAATCCAAAGTGCTAAAATCACATGTAAAGAAGAAAGGTAAAAATAATAAGTACAATTTGGGCATTGCCTGTGGGCTTCATTTACCAAGGATCTTGCTGCCTTAACCCCAGAAAGCTATGCCTAGGGGCTGGCATTTTTGTCCAGGTCCAGCTCTTTTGCATGTAGAGGTTCAAAATGTCACTCAGAATATTCCACTTTCGTATATTGAATATTCTAAATTAAAAGTACTTGAGGCCCTAGTCAGTTTGCCTCAGTGGGTAGAGTGAACTGAAGGATCCCAGGTTCAATTCAGGTCAAGGGTACATGCCTCGATTGCAGGCTCTATCCTCAGCCCTGGTCAGGGCGTTTGCAGGAGGCAACCAATTCATGTGTCTCAGATTGATGGATCTCTCTGTGTCTCTCCCCCTCCCTTCCACACTCTCTAAATAAAAATGAATGGAAAAGTATTCTCGTGTGAGGATTAACAACAAAAAAGTACTTGAGAAACAATTACAGCAGAAGCAACAAAGCTGATAGTGCATACATTCTTAGTGCGAAAATGTGGAAAGTATAGACAGATCACAATCTCCACCTTTACAATATTCCTTCATAATTCAGCCACATTCTCAGAGATTGCTACAATTAATCTAATAGGTTATTTTAAATTTAATTTTAGGCTTTCCCATACATAATTGTATTATAAAATATATATTGTGATTTGAAAACATAATGGGTAATGACATACATATTCTGCCGTATGTGTTTTCCACTTAACATGAATACAGGATCTTTATATGACAACACATAGATATACTTCACTTTTATAACTGCTCCCATAGCATGTATGTGCCATAATTTTAACCATCTCCTTCTGATGAGCACATAATTTGTTTCCCATTTGTTGCCATGACTTATAAAACAAATATTTTTTCCTTGCTAGCATGGCTCAGTGGATGAGTGTCGACCTATGAACCAGAAGGTCATGGGTTCAATTCCTGGTCAGGGCACATGCCTGGGTTTCAGGCTCAATCCACAATAGGGACATGCAGGAGGCAGCCAATTGATAATTCTCTGTCATCATTGATGTTTCTATATCTCTCTCTCCCTCTCTCAATTAAAACAAATATTTTTAACATGACTTATTGGCTTAAAGTCTATTGTTCATCATGATAGTGAAACGTGAAAATTGAACTGGAACACAAAGGTGATTTCTTTCCTGAGTTCTTGCCTTGATGGTTTCGAAGAATGAAGCCACAGACAAAAGGTGATAGGTGAAAAGTACAGAAACTTTATTGCAAGCAGACACTGCCTCTAGTCAGTGGAATTCATTGATTAGTTGGATGTCAGGTGACAGAGCAATCAAGAATATACAATATGTTTGAACTTAGCAAATGTGGGTGCCATTATTAAGATGAAGAAAACCTCGGGTGGGGGGGGGTAAGGGCGGGCTAGAAGGGGTCAATGGGGGACATATCTAATACTTTCAACAATAAAGATTTAAAATTTTTTTAAAGATGAAAAAAAAAACTAATTCTAAATTCTAAGCTTACAACTCTGTCCCTCCTGGACAGACAGAGGGGCCCCTGAGAAGGGTGACTGCTGCTTCTTTGTCTTGAGGCATTAAATAGGCTGCAGTTCTTTGTCTGAACACTTGGGTTGCGGGTGAATTTCCCGCCAAAATATAAGATGGCGCGTTAAAATGCCTATATCTTTTGAAGCATGGGTTCGATTGAAATGAAATATTTGGTAATACGCAGTTACAATCGGCCCGAGTTTACACGTTTCCCGCACTCCACCGCAAATCTATATGAACCGAGTTAAAGACGGCTCCCGCGGAGTACGCGCAATTCACGTGAGCCGACTTAACTCGTTTCCCGCACCCCAAGTGTGAACCTGAACCCTTATTGGTTATTTTGCTACATAGAATTAGTTTTCAAAGCTCAAAGCTCATATGGTGTCCCCCTCCTTCTCTCCCCTTTGTTGGTTGGAGTCACTTTTGATTTATCTCATAGCTCTTCCAGTTGTGTTGGCAGAGAAAGCCTTATCTTATGGCCTTCCCAGCTACTCGTGGGTTCAATTCCTGGTCAGGACACATGCCTGGGTTTCAGGTTCAATCTAGGGCTACTTTTGGCCGAACTTATGGTCACTTTAATTGCTCAGGCCGGAGATACCCTTGGTTTATGGCTGTATTAATTGCATGGGCCAGATATATTTCTATTTGCCTATTCCATTTCTCTACTCTCTGTACAAGTAAAATAAACACCCTGGCATCTTCAAGTCCCATTATGTATTCCTCTCCTATAGATCCCTTTCATTCCTAAAACCTTCTAAACCTGCCTAATTAAATTAGCTAGCTAACTCAATAGCAAGGTAGAAATAGGGTTAAAGTGTAGAGTGTGTGAAGACTATGAATTTTTATAAATATTGCCAAAATTATATCCCAAAAATATTTCTCCCAATTCATATTTAATGCATGTAAATATCATAAACATTCACATATCATTTTAAAAGTCAAAAGTACTTAATTTGAGAAGCAAATATTTCATCAAAATGACCACTTGACAGGGAATGGGACCAGATAGGACATTTTACTTAGCGAGGGATGAGGATTTGGGGAAAGAGAAATGTCCAGGATCTGTGAGAGAGACCACATGTAAATCCAAGTACAGAGAACCAAGAGCAGGTTGGTAGTCAAAGTTCTGAATCCAGAGTTCAGTTGTCGAATGGAGAAAGGACCAGAAGGAATGAAAGTGGAGAATCTGGATGGTGAGTCCAGGACAACTCAGATGAACAGGCTTGGGAAATCTCTGAATCACTGCTAACAGCTAAAAATTATATAGTTATCTGAGTGAGGAAATCTACTTGAAATAGCCATCATCTCAAGGAATTCCCCCACCTACTATTAGGCCAACTATACTGTCTCTCCTGTATCATCCAATAATATTACTGGTCGAGTCTGGAGAAGCTACATGTCTTGACCACTCTAGTAGTCCTTTGCCAGTATATCAGGGTTGGGGTCTGCCTTGATTCCTACTGGAAGTGGGCATTTTGTCCTTACTATACACTGGACACTCTCTACTGAGTTATGGGCTACATCAGTGGTTCTCAACCTTCTGGCACTTTAAATACAGTTCCTCATGTTGTGACCCAA